GCGTAACGGGAACCAAAGGGGCCACCATCCTGGCCGAGCAAGGGTCCGAACGCCGTTTTTCTGCCCTGCTTTTCAACATCTTGCTTGTTCCGACCTCCGTTCCACCGTGTTCCTTGTTTGCATCTCACAAAGAACCCGGATTTTCTTGAAAGCGACAATATTACGATTTTCCAAGGCTCCCAGGGTCGCACCCGCGCTGGAGCACCGCCGTTTGTGAGAGGGCAGCTTGCTTTCCTCCCTTTCCATGACATGTATTTCCCTTCCTAATTGCTGTCATTTGTGTACATGTCTTGACACTCAACGGGTTCATGCCTCGTGAGTCCCTCGCCCGGTCGGGCAGCAAACGGTCATTGGGACCAACAGGTATAACGCATTGTTTAAGATACCTTTCGTCCCAAAAACTTGCGTTGTCCCCCCATATCTCGCCTAAAGTTAGAAAAAAGAGGGGACCGATTCCCGAACAAAGACTAGTCATGTCATCGGAGCATCGACAAGGTGATCTGCGGTCCCCTTTATGCCTCTGCCGAAGCGACGACATCCCGGTCCGTTCGTCGAGTGTGTGATACCCTAGATCTCGCGCGTCCGTCAAACAATGATAAACTGAACGCGATCCCGTCGCTCTTTCGTTCCCATGGGGTCTGTTGTGAGCAGAATTTCTGGACGAAACCTCAGATGATCGTGTAGCCCATTCGCGATGTGTTCAACAGCTCCCGCCAACAGCCTCTTCGGGGGCGCGTCCTTCTCCTTGCCTTATCATACCCTCGATGGAGCTGTCATCGCTAGCAAAATGGCTTCCTCCACCATGGTGGTCACGGAATCGGTCACTGAGATCACAGAAGTGGCGGAACAAACAGAGGAACTAGCCCAGTTAGTTTCAGCGCCGACTATTTATCTCGATGACAACGGCGACCTGAGACTCTCCGTTGGCGGCGATGTTGAAGATCACCCACAAGATTTCGTCGTCTGCTCAAGAGCACTTGGTCGAAGCTCCCCTGTCCTCAAGGCTATGCTATTTGGTCGCTTTCTGGAGTCCCGCCCGTCAGAGAGTGCCGGAGAGTGGTCCGTCGAGCTGCCCGAGGACTCGCCAGAAGCAATGGAAATCGTACTAAACATCGTTCACGGCCATTTCAACCTCGTTCCGGAGAAGCTACCATTGATGCGTCTCTACAACGTCCTCACAATCACGGAGAAGTACGACATGACTGTCATCGTTCGCCCATGGGCACGCTCGTGGATGCAGGGCGTCAAGCACCAGACCGACAATGCGCATCTACTATGCGTTGCTTGGGAGCTGGGAGACACCGAGGTCTTTGAGGCCATGTACAAGAAAATCACCTACGAGTCAATGATTGATCTCCAAGGAAGGATCGTGTTCGGGCACTTGGCTCGTATCTGGAAGCCTGGGCCAGAGGGATACAACTTCCCTCTCGATAAGATTGTCTACCTTCGACCCCCAGAAGTCTTTGGTAAGTTTTCTGTGCCAATCACCCCAGCCGCATAGTCAAATCGCTAACATGACAACCAACAGAAACCATTGCCAAGCATCGCCAGGCCTTGGTGTCAGCCTACTTGGACCACTTCGTCCTCCTTTACCGATGTCTCAAAGATGGATGCAGATACATGAAAGGATACTACCACAGCTCACCAGACGCCGAGGAGTGCAATAGCATGCTTCTCGGTTCACTGGTGAGGTGTCTCGCCAAGGGAAAGGTCGACATTACCCTGCCGAGCCCTTGCGAATCGTACAGGGGAAATGTGGAATCGTTGGAGAAGGCCATTGGCGCCGTCAAGCTCTTGACTGTGCACAAGCCATCTCCCGCGAACCAATGTTTGAAGAGGATAGAAGAGGAGCTGGCTAAGGGCGCAGTGGCCGCCGGCGTAACAAAAACGGAGTTGGTTGTCATTCAACCGGAGCATCGGGGATATCTGGAAAAGCAAGCTAGCAAGACTGGAGTTGTCATGGCTGGATAGAAAAGGTCGGCTGCATCATCGGTGTGGTAATGAGGTTATGGGATAGGGAATCTTGTTTCTGGGGTGCCTTTGGGAGGGTGCATGGTTTGGGAATGGTTACGTCTGGAGTTTTGGGCAGAGTTACGGGAGACTGTATGAAATCATTCAGGAAGATTAGATTTTCTTACCCCATCTCTTTTAATTGCTCGCAAAGAGTCTAATTAGAACTTTTCAACCAAGTCAAATCCGGAAAACACGCGTGGCAACAGCACGGGGTAGGCTGACTCTAGCTTCGTCTGTGCATGGAGAGATCAGCGCGGGGTGGAACTGTGTGTTCACGGACGTCATCATGCTGTATCAAGCGGCGCAAAAGATGGGATAAACACTTGAATCAGAGCCTCGACATTTTTGTTTTGTGCCAATATACCATCCCATAGAGTACCTATGCCATCAGAGTAAACGCCCAGTCCCAACATGCATGACTCTTCAGTTGAAGCCAAGGTTGCCAATCGTAACAGACTTGATGTTCTGGTACTCTGCCAGTCCATACTTGCTACCCTCCCGACCAAGTCCACTCTCCTTCACACCACCGAACGGTGCCTCCGCCGCGCTGATGAGACCAGTGTTGACGCCCAGCATGCCGCACTCCAACCGTCTCGCAACGCGCATGACTCGAGAAATGTCTTTGCTGAAGAAGTAGCCTGCGAGGCCATACTCTGTAGCATTAGCCAGCTCCACGGCCTCTGCCTCCGTCTTGAAAGAAAAGATGGCCGCCAGCGGGCCAAAGGTCTCGTCATGTGCGACCTCCATGTCGGTCGTGACTCCGCTGATCACCGTAGGCTCGTAAAAGTATCCCTTGAGCCCCTCTGGCGCCTTGCCGCCCGTGTGGAGAACGGCACCCTTCTTCAGCGCGTCTTGGACGTGGGCGTCGACCTTTTGGACGGCGGCGGCGTTGACTAGGGGGCCTTGCGTGATGCCATCGTCGATTCCACGGCCGAGTTTGTACTGCTTTACGCGGGTCACGAGTTTCTCGATGAATTGGTCCTTGACCGCCTCGTGGACGAGCAATCTGTTGGCGCACTGAAGATGTCTGTTAGTCGGGCAACTTGGACGTTGTCGCGTTCAGATAGACTTACCACGCATGTCTGACCGGAACACCTGAACTTGCAAATCAAAGCACCCTCGACCGCCTGGTCGATATCGGCATCATCGAACACAATGAACGGGGCATTGCCACCCAGCTCCATGCTCACGCGCTTCATCGTACCCGCCGCAGCCTTGGTGAGCATCTTGCCGACCCCAGTTGACCCAGTGAAACTAAGCTTCTTCACGATGGGGTTGTTGGCGAGCTCCATCGACGCCTCTCTGTCCTTCGTCGGCACCACGTGGATGATATCTGGCGGGATTCCAGCAGCGAGCGCCAACTTAGCCAGGGCCAAGGCGCTGAAAGGAGTTTCGCTTGGTGGCTTGATGATAACCGAGCATCCCGCCGCAAAGGCTGGTGCGATCTTGCGGGTAATCATGGCTGCTGGGAAGTTCCAGGGGGTAATGATGCCGCAGACGCCCACCGGCTCCTTGAAGGTCAAGACGGTGGTGTTGGCGTAGGATGAAGGAATAGTATCGCCATATGACCGTGTCGCTTCCTCGGCGAACCAGGAGATGAAAGAAGCGGCGTAGACAACCTCGCCTCTGGCTTCGGCAAAGGTCTTGCCGTTCTCCAAAGATAAAACCAAGGCCACTGAGAGCGCGTTAGTGTGTCAATTCTTCAGCAGGGGCTTCGTGCTGCAAAGGTACTCACAGTCGTCAGCGTTGGCAATGACCAAGTCAAACCACTTTCTAAGCAGGGCGCCTCGCTCCTTTGCTGTTGTTGACTCGTGAAACTTGGCTGATCCCTTCTTAGCGCTCTCGATGGCATCTACGAAGTCTTGCCGGCTTAAGTTGGCGCATTCCTGGAGGACGGTTGCGCTTGAGGGTTCGTAGACGGGGAAGGTCTTGCCATCTTGGCCGTTCTTCCACTCGCCGGCAACGAGGCCGGAAGAGACCAGCAGGCTCTTGTCCTGGAGCTTTGCGAAGACGTCTGCCATTTTGAGCCTTGAGTGATGTGATGTGCACTTATTTCTGGCCTTGTGTGATTTATTGAGATGGAGAGAGAAAAGTGGGACAGCCGGTTCAAGTCTCCTCAACACGGGAACTTGTTCTTATATATCCCGCCGTCGTTAGCTATATTTCTTACTTGAATTGAATCACCCCATTCCCGCAGCGGTCTTAGCCGAGCTTCGGAGTATTGCGGGGATGCGAATCGACGGCGATCCGGCTGCCGGTCGTGCATCAAACCCACCGAGGCTCATGCAGGAGATATTGGCGCTAGTGAATGCCTCGGAACTATGGAGGGCAATTCATATACAACCCCGCAGGTGAAGCATCTTCCCCTCAGTCGGCACTATATGAGTGCAGGTAAGCTCGATCAATCGAGTATCATCCTCGGCTTCATTCTGTTAGTCATGGTTATTCCAGGTTGTCTTTCTGTCCCATATTTGGCGAGGGATGGCGCGGGAAGTCCCTCGCACGCCCGGCCGGCCCGGCCCCATATGATGTGGGTCTACCGGCCCGGCGGACGCCGACCACGAACCTACCGGCCCGGCCCGGCCCCAATGGCATGACAAGACTGCATCCGAATGGTCACATCCGGGTAACCGCGTTCAGTCTTGTGTCATAAGGCGCTCTAGTTGCGGGCAGAAATCCACGTCGTGCTTCATTTTGCGACACCTTGGTTTACCGAACGCGGGGCATAAGCCACTGTTTTTGTGCATTCGTGGATTGGCATTCGTGAAATCGCAGACTTTTCAAGGAATGGGTATTTTGGGATCGTGCTCTGAGATCGAAAGAGCTTCATTGAGCTGGATCCGACCCAGACATATCGTGCTTCATTATAATCAGAGTCAAGATCCGTCTATGTACATGGAGGCTAGAGCACGCGTCTGTGAAGGCCAACGTTTGTCGAAACTCATGATCTTATCTACCCTGACAAATGGGGAGGTCTTAGAGAGGACTTAATTCAGCTTGAAAGATCCTCTAACAAGGCCTTTGGAAGTGAAGATTCCCCGCGGATCAATTGTTCTCTGGATCTCTCGGAGCCTGTTCTTATTCTTCTCTCCGTATCCCGAAAACGGGTCTTGATTGTGATTCGCATAGTTGATGTACAGCCAAGGATGGAACAGATTCATTGACTCGGCTTCAGCCTTGCCTCGGTTGATGATTCGGTCGGCATAGGCATACATGGCCGCATCGTCCTCCGAGTTAGACCATCCAAGAGTGAGAAGCGCAACTTTTCGGTGGCAAGGACAGTCAGCAAGTGGTTCACTTCGATAAATAGAACATATTGAAGAAGGATAATTGGCGCAAAGCGTACTCATCAGTGGCCCGTCAGACTCGACGCCAAGAGCATTTCCTCCCCTAACTTTCATGGCATCGATGGCATTCTTGTGCAACGCCTGGACAACAAGCGACGACGAAAGACCTGGAGTGGTCTTGACACCCTCAATCTCTTCCGAGTAGATGTTGATCAATTGCTTGTGCAAAACCCGGGAGGGGCGGAACGTGATGGAAGCATAGACGCGACTATCATCCAGTCAGAATCTCTCTCAATGGGCCAACAAATGTTCTGAGGGCTTTGGACATCAGTTTACCGTAATCCATGAGGAGAGACGCTATCGAGACTGTGGTTGCTCATCCAGTCTACGCGAAGATTGCTCGTCTCATATGGGATCTTGTTCAACTCAGCGAAAACCGGCGGTTCAACGACGGGATCATAGTAGGCCTGCGAAACACTCATGCTGAACCGGTCGGTGGCAACATCGTAAGAGTTGCGACTCCAGAAGGACATGTATGTGTCGGTAGCCAAGTTCGTCGCGAGTTGATAAGACTGATCGACGAGCTGATCGGTGAAGTTGATATGATAGGTCCTTGCACCACCCCACTTCTGCCCTTGCGGTACAAGTCGTGAACGGAAGTTGGTTATGATACCGAAGTTATTACCGCCTCCGCGCAAAGCAAAGTACAGGTCCGGGTGGACAGTCTCCGAGACGTTGACAATGGTAGTATTGGGGAGTACGAGCTATTGGAAAGTGAGTAAGCTCAAAACTTGCCAAATCGTACAGAACATTGAGTCTGTTTTTTAGTCTGAGTGCTTACCTGATACTCCCAAACGTTATCCACGGCTAAGCCGTATTGCGGTCCAAGATCAGAGAGTCCACCGCCGATCGTGAATCCTGGGAGCCCGACATCCGCCGTTCTTCCGCCCACCATCGTGAGATTGTGCTTCTCCAGTGCCAAATAGGCATCACGAAGAATATGGCCAGGTCCAAGGTTAGCTTTGGTTCGGTCTTCTGAGATCTCAATGTGGTCCATGAGGTGCAAGTCGATTGTGATGCCGCCGACTGAGTTGGAGGCATCCAAATTTGTCATGTGTCCGCCACCCTTGATCGCGAAGCGGCACCAGTTATCGACGGTGATCTCAACGACTCTTGAGACCTGAGAAGCGGTTGTCGGCTCTACGCGGCAGGCGGGAAGAACTTCCTGCTGCTTGATGTCCCATATCGCGAAGGAAGAATCGTTGCTACCGAGATGGACAGCAGAGCCGAACTCGTTCATCAGTTGAGAGCACTAGCTAGTCGGTCAGTATAGAGTAAACGTGAAGGGGTCCACTTTTGTCAGAATATCTAACCGCTTGACTGCAGCCCGCTGTTATGGAGGCTTCAGACGCAATGCCCAAACGAGTCTGGGCAAGAAGACCTAGGATATACCCAATCGCCATGGTTATGATGTCCGGATAAGAAATCTCAATCTGGGCGATGAATGAAAAGGGTATGAGGAATATTCGTTTCACTTCAAAGGGTTATTGCTGCATTTATCCGTGATCGGATATCGTTACTAGGCTGAGTCTGTGTCCCCAAAGGCCGATGATGTCGGTGATACTTTGGTCATCAGCATGCAAGGGACCGTGGCATACCACACCGAGCTGCTACTTTAGGAAAGAAGCTGGGTATCTCTGGATGGTGATCACTCAAGCCGGGACCCATTTCATATATGCGAGCGACAAAAAGGACAGTCGTCATGCGGGATCAACGCAGTCAAGCGGACCCCGCGTGACCCACGGGCCTTTGAGTTGACACTAGAGAGATACTTTTAATCTGCCTATGTCTATGAGCGATTCAGCATCGGAATCAACATACTACGTCGGCATCCGTCAATGCCCGCCATTGTCACCGCCAACTACCTACTTGCACGAATGGGTCAAGTCCGAAGTTCCATCCACGCGGCCTGCCAAGGAGCTACATTCGGCAGCTCATCTCAGAAGAGACTGAATGCCTGACGATGGAAAAGACGACACCGCAGAAAGACCCCCATGTTCAGACGGGAAACCAAGAACACCACAACGAGAACAGGGAGTGGATGCCGATCATGTTCTAGCGCAATTCCCATGTTGCGGTTCCTCCCGTAGATGTCGTTCAATTAAACAGGCGTGTCTGACCAAGGGTATCTTCTCGTTTGCACAGCCGGCATTGATTCTATACAATAAGGCGGACGCCACACGCATCTGACTTCCAGCTATGATTACAGCCATGAGTTGACCTTGGGAATATTTGTGAATAAGTACGGTCAAGTTGGCAAAACCTGGAACTGAAAAGAAGGGAATTGGACTGGAATCTTGGTACAATGACGTTTCGAGGGTTCATTCGACACGGTGGTTCTCACCCAAAAAGTGATCTTGGTAGAGTTCAAGAGTGTCAGCAGGCTGCATGATTCCCCTCACCCGCACCAGCTCAGAACCCTGTCCAAAACTCACCTACATAGGATGAAGCTAAGACCAGGCCCATGCTTATCGACTATGTTATCAATGGCCAGAAGGACTCATTATTCGTCTAATGACTTGATGGAATCTGGAACTGAATATCCTAGAAGCACTGGAAAATTGTCCATTAAACAATTGAATCCACAGAAGTGCAGGGTAATCCGGCCGTTGTTCGGTTCTACGACGTTTGTGGTGGCTGAACCTCCAAGCTAAACATGATCGGGGCTAATGATTAAGTGGAACTATCTCATATGCAGCCTGCTGACGTGCCGGGGTTAGGGCGCCTCAACGAGACCGCCCAACAGGAGATAGGATGAATGGGCCGATGTGACCAATTAATCACTTGGGCAGGTGAATCTAGCTCACTAGTAATCATTATACGGCATTATTCCGAGACGTGGAGGGTAGCAATAATACACTTTCACAACCTGAATGATTTTCACAGAAACTTTGCCACTGTCTCAAAGAGACCACGAAGGGTAAGCTAGAGTAAGCGAGTCGGGCTTCCTCAAGGATGACCGATTCTACTCTGAGTATTAGCATTAGATAGTGAAGGGAATGAGCACATGACATGCGCTCAAAACCCATTGCCAAGTGTTCTAGTCTCAACCTCTCCAGAAAATCATTCCTCTCACATCACCTGGAGTTGACAAGCTGACGTATTGAGGCTTGGCGTATTCTGCTGATTCAGCCACGCCCATGATTGGCACTTCATAACGAGATTTGGCATAACGAGATTTGGATCTAAACAGGACGACGAGAAGCTCGGAGGATCAACACTATAAAATCACCGCTCAAGTTCTTCAAACCCCGATACAATGACATACTCGGAAATTCAACCGGGTAAAAGAGACTACTCTTGGGAATATGTTCCCAAGATATTGAATTTTTTCCCTCGTCATGGTAGCCTGCGCCAGCAGTGTCAACCTATTCTCAAGAACCAATGGTGGAGCCTTGATTTCTTTGAAGCTGCCTTACAAGGACGGTCAGTACAAAGTGAAGCAAACTCACGTCACGAAGTCTAGCGGTCCACAGGCAGTATGGCTAGAACTTGATAAGCCTCATGATGTTTTCTATTGCCTAGACAGACCTGGCTCAGTTAACACTGTCAACGTGGCGCAAGACGGAAGACTGGCACCAATCGCGAGCCAAAACACAACCATCGGCCCCGTCAGCAGTACATTCTACAACATCGGCGAGAATAGGGGAATGGTTGCTGCTCATCTGTAGGCTGTGTAGCTCTTGATTATCCCTAAGACACTGGTGTTGACACACACTACCTAATAAGGCCTGGGAGCTGTGTTGCAACATGGGACGCACCCTATAATGGCCGGCCATATCAGCCTGCTCCAGACGTTTGTATACACATCGCCAACAGGACCAAAGCCCGCGCAGAGTATCTCACACCCCCATGATGCAATCTTGGACCCGACTGGGGATTTCATTGTTGTGTTGCATTTTGGTTCCGACCTCCTCCGAAATTACTCTTTCGACAAAGCCGTGAGTCTCTTGACCGAGATAGACCATATACCATGTCCTTCGGGGTCACATCCACGTCATGGCCTATTCTGGGCACTAACTGCGACTTTCACCAGGGGAGACCTCGTTTTTCTCTATATTCTAGCAGAATTTGACAGCACCATAACATCAATTCGTGTCACGTGTCTATTTACAGGCATAATTGCTCTTTAGCGGATTAGAATTGTCAGCTCGTACGGTTCTGCGCCGGCTGCTCCTTCTGGCATCGCGGCGGAAATCGAAGTTTCCGTAACCAAATCCAGCTCCTTACTTTAGCCATAATATGACATGAACCCATCCAACTGACAATGGAGTCTACAGCCTGACGACAGATTCATTATTGCTTCCAATCGCAATAATTCGTCTTTTGTGATACCCAATCTCAACTCGGGTAATGAACGCAAGAACCTTCGGACTCTCTCGCCTTTTTCAGGCCCATGGCAGATGGCGCCTTGTCTGTTGAACAATTAGCACCCGCGGTAGGAAGTTGACCGCGACATTTCAAAATGAAAAAGAAGAGGGATCTGGTTGCCGTGAACTTGCAGACCTCGATTCGAGTGGCGATCATGGAGAGGGATATGAGACTGGAAAGCTCGGGTCTATCGTTGCTCATACATGTACCGATATGTATGTGAAGTCGTAACTGCTATGCAGAACGAGTAGCTAGAATAGGCCCATTGAGAAGAAGTACAGCGTAATGGTATTTTTTGGCCTCTAGCATCAAAAATCCCATGATCTAATTAGACGAGAATAGGACAAGATGTGTAAGTCTGAGGCAAGTATCAATAATTATGTTGAATGCAACTCGCGTTTCTTTCTCTATCGTCTCGTATCACGGGTGAACAGCTTTGACAGAGAGGCAGCCCCTCTCGAAAAGAAGACGATGGGGAGTCATACTAATTGAATGGCAGTTGGTTGAGTCCCCTTGTGCATTTGGGGCTTTCAAAGCTTAGGTAATCGAAACCCCTTCTTCTAGAGGAGTACCGAGGCTCTACTCGATCTGTTCGCCCTTGGGCAAAATAAAAGTCCAGAACGATGACAGCATGATGGCAGTATCTTGTTGATCGTGTTGGTTCTGTTCGTTGTGTAACGTGTTGGATGCGAGCTGGACGTGAGGTCGCTTCGCAAGGGTCCATAAAACTCCAACAACAATTGGTTGCTAGCAGTTGTTGCTGCATAGAGCGATACTTCCCCTGCTGTTTGTTGGATCCTTATTCGTTCTTCCTCAAGGAGGATTATCCTCATGCAGAAGCAACGCCCGTTAATGAATACACGGCCACAGAGCAGGGGACTGGGTGGCCCACAGCGTTGGTAGCGACACTCACGTGCACTTAAACTTCAATGGCATCCTGTCATCCAACTGAGTTCATTACCGAGAAAAGTCATCCGCAGCCGCCCATTGGAAACCTGCGACAAAGACTTTAACCCGCACAGATCATTGCGATATGTACTCCCGCCCAGCTTCCTGTCGCACGATGGGCGTCGATTCTGCCATCGACATAGACGCAGCACTTCCACCCACACCACCCAATAATGTGCCTGATAGCGAGGTCATCATCGAGGCTGATCAGGTACTCATACCGCAGCATCGCTGGCTTAGGTATACTAGAGAAGATGCTGATGACTCACTAGAACGAAGTAGAAAGAGAAGAATCGGTAAGGCCTGATAATTAGTTGTATGGAATGAAAGTTAGGAGTTGTCTGGCCGTGAAGAGCCCGAGTCTGACCTGAGATCAGGGAAGTGTGGCGTCGTCAAGTATGAGTGCCACCAGCTCAATCTTCGGATTTCGCATCGAAAACGGAAGGACCTATCATAAGTACAAAGATGGCAGTGAGTATTTGAACGCTTCAAATGACCGCCTACTCAAACTCCGTGTACTCTTTACGGCGATTCCTCAAGACATGAATTTACTGACGTTCCAGGGTAGAATATAACTTGCCCAACGATGAAAGAGAGACCGAAAGACTGGGTTGGAGCTCCTTCAGGATACATGTTGATCATTCTAATGATAAGGACAGACTTGCAGCACACTCTATTTCGACTTACGTTTGACGATAGACTTGGTACCGCCCCACCGAACGATCCAGAAAGTAAAGTTGGCAGAGTTCTGGATGTGGGCACAGGGAGTGGGATATGGGCTATTGACTATGGTGATGAACATCCTAACTCGGAGGTCGGTTATTCTACGAGTGTATGTGAAATGGGATTCAAAACACTGACGGCACGGGTGACGCAGGTTCGTGGTATCGATCTCTCAGCTGCACAGCCAACTTTGTAAGCAGTCTGACCGAAAATATTCTTGACAAGACGACCGGTGAATACTGAATATTTAGTACGCCGAAAAATGTGAAATTTCTCATTGACGACCTCGAAGAGCCGTGGACCTACTCACGACCTTTCGACTACATACACAGCCGAATGATGAATTCCTCGATCAGGGACTGGCGAGAGTATATACGGAACTGTTACGAGTGAGTCTCCCGATATAATAAAGTCTATAACATCATGCAGCTCCAAGTAACTCATTATCATCAATACACAGCAACCTCAATCCCGGTGGATATCTGGAGTTGAATGAAATTGATGTCAAGCCACTCTCTGATGACGGTACATTGAAACCGGAGCACTCCATCTCCAGAACCGTCGAGATGCTCCAAGAGGCTTCGGATCTATTTGGGCGCCCATATCAAGACCCCAAGGCATTGAAGTCGGTCCTCATGGAGACTGGTTTCACTGGTGTGACGATGCAACACTTCAAGTGGCCCACCAACCCTTGGCCGAAGGAACCACGACACAAAGAGCTAGGGGTTTGGAATAATGAGAATCTCACTCAGGGATGGGAGGCTATCTGTATGGCCCCGCTCACGAGGGCGCTGCGTTGGACCAAGAATGAGGTCTTAGTATTGATGGCTGAGAACCGCAAGGATTTCTGCGATCGAAACATTCACGCGTATTTCTCTATGTAAGTTGTTATGTCCCTATGCGGTTCTCCAACTTTGAGATGCAGAGATAATCATTTTAGCTGACATTCCTTTTTCAGATGGTCGATCTATGGACGAAAGCCAATAGATACAAACATGGATGTTACCCGTGATGATAGCAACAAGCAAGGCCAAGAGGAGAGGTACGAGGAGGGCGATGTGAGTATGTGAGACACAACGCAGACGCGCCTCAATGTGCGCGCAGACCAATACGGACTTGAGCATGCTCTTGACTCGACAGGCAGAATCGAATCAAGTACTCAGACTTGACCAAATTTCAAAGATTATACCCGTCAATCTGATTAATCCTTACTTTCCAACATGATTGACCACAAGGTTCATACCCTCATTCTACTCCTCGATGTATTTCTCGCTCAGATCACCGGCCGGCAACAGGATTCAAGAAAGAAATGACAGAGTTTGGGGGCCTGAGCACATGCTTGAAGCCTCCTCGGACGGCTGTGGCCCGACCAATGTCAGAGCCTGCAGGACAAGATTTAATGGCCCCTGCTGCAAAAAGGAAGTTTGCCTGATGATCAGGTCCAGTCGGGATGAGTCCTTCTTCCCGTGAATCCTCGTTGAAGCCAAATTAGGCTCTCAGTCAATGCGACGTGCCGAACTCTGTCTGAGCTCTGGCAGCTATCATTGGTCCTGATGGAGCTTCAATTTTTGATACGCTTAGAACCTAGGCGACTGGTTGGAGTGCAAAGCAAACGCCTCAGTCTCAGATCTTCGGGAGGTTCGAAACGTGAAGCTCGGCCTGATTGACGTGATAAAAAGTACGCATAGTGAGGTTCAAGTGACGACCTCGGAGCATCCTATCTCTCCTCTTATTAGACAATAAAGAGTCTTCAATGAACACTTCGTCTTGAGGTTCGATACTGTCACCTCAGAAGTGAGCTCGAAATCATGAAGACCACTAACAGACCCGACGAGTGGAAGATAGAGCAGGGGCTGGCGGGAGCGGAGCTTCCTGTCCTTGATATGACAGGACCTCAAACCAAGGCTCTTCCCCCTCAGATCTTCGGCGACCTAACGAAGGATGATGCCGCCATAAAGAAAGTGGGCGACCCGAACATGTTATTTACGGAGGAGCGACAAGGTTGGACTGGGTGAGTCACTAGCGATTTTGATATGACATGCCCACAGATTACAGAAATTGTGGCCTCACGGCAACTGACAGCTCCGGAATCCAAACAGCTTCATCGAGTGGGAGAATTCTCCCGAGAAGAAGGCCGCGGCCCATAAGATCTTGACGTCCCAGACGTTCCCCCCAAACCCAGAGTTCCAGCTCGGTCCCATTCCAGGTAGCAATCCTGTCCTCCCTGGTACTCATTGGAAGATGTGGCACAAGGCGGTTGGTGGTGCTCTGTCTCGCATCCCCGACGACTCCTGGGACATTGTGCTGAAGGAGAAGCATGCCGACATGCTCCATCTTCTCCAGTTTCCGTACAATGGCGAACCCTCTAAGCGCCTGGTGACCGACAAGGAGATTACTCCCAATCCCCTTCACTTTGTCCGAAACCACGGCGGAATCCCGATCATTGATAAAGAGCACTACAGCTTTCTGCTGGACGGGCTTGTTGCGAATCCGAGATCGTTCACTTTGGATGATCTGATGGACGAGACCAAGTTTCCCAGGATGGAGAAGACAGTGACAATGCAGTGTTCGGGAACCCGACGTATCGAGCAGATTCTCAAGTACCCCGGCCAAGGTGACGAGGTGCCTCAAGCGCCCTGGGCTGAAGGTGCGATCGGAACTGCCAAGTACGTTGGCATCAGTCTCAAGAAAGTCATCAAAGCCTGCGGTGGACTCATCGAAGGAGCAAAACATCTCGAATTCTACGGCGCCGACACCTATTTCAAAGACGACAAGACCATGAACTATCTCGTCAGCGTTCCTTGGTCTAAAGTGAGGGCAAACGAGGTCATGCTGGCCTGGGAGATGAATGGCGACGTTCTTCCTCGTATTCATGGATATCCCCTCCGCATCGTCGTCTTCGGTTACATTGGAGCACGAAGCGTCAAATGGCTTTACCGCATCAAGGCTATCAAGAACCCTACACGTGCGCCCGTCCAGAGCCAGGAGTACCTCTATTTCCCTCAACAAGTCGGCAAGCATAACCTTAAGATGACGGACGGCATACAGATTCAGGAGATGCCAGTCAGCTCTGCCATTATGTCGCCTTGGACTAAGCAGGTCGTGATACACAACGGCAAGATTCGATGCAAGGGATGGGCATACTCAGGTGGGGGTCGCTGGCCGGAGCGGGTTGAGCTCTCAGCTGACGGAGGGTTCAATTGGTACACCGTACCGGTCGAGAATCTCTCCAAGAAGCGTAAGTGGACCTGGCGGACCTGGGAGATCGATCTTCCTTGCGATGTAGAAGGCTGGATTGAGATCGTCTGTCGCTGCTGGGACAATTCTCTCAATACCCAACCGCCTGATGTACGCACAGCTTGGAATTGGGGCTTGCATGTGACCAGTTCCTGTCATAGAATTTCGGTTTACAGTGTAAACAACACCCGGCCGAACACTCAGGCACGCCTCCGGGAATTTGCAGACAAGGGCATCCCGTTCGCTCCAATCACAGTGCCCCTGGCTTTCCCATCTCAGTCCTGGGACGAATATGAAGAGTTTTGGAAGAAGCACGATCCACGGGATGCTGAGGAATAGCTGGCTGCCTTTCTTTTGCTTCGGATGATGTTGCGGTGGCCTTACTGCGCACACGGGATCGCAAGCGGGACCTGTCAGAACATTTTGGGCTTGAAACTAAATTGAATTACGGATAGTGGGAACGACCGAATTAAAACTGGAAACAGGAACTGCTGAGGTGAACATCGCGTCTCGCCAGCCGTATCGATGTTCCCCGTTCCTCACGGATCAAGACCCCTGAAGCACCCATTCTGTGGTTCACTCTGCGCATAGGGTACCGCTAGTACGTAAATAAAGCGACCGGAGTTTCGGACGCATGTGGAGTGGTTCGTATACACCGCCATAGACAATGAGCTATTGATGTTTGCTGTGCCGCAAGCTAGCTGCCGCTTCTGGAAACTGCTGCCCGAGTACCAGGGTTTTGTCACAGATAGCTGGTTGAATCCGACTGGACAGACCAACATGCATATCTGCGCAGGTGTCCAATGTCGCACCCTAGTCTCCAGATGTCTAGCCAAGAAGAGGGGTAAATCGACGTGGGACCCGTCCCAAAGATATTTCCCATCGGTTTCGCGTTGTGAAATCTTCCCATGCTCGACATTGCACAGATATAGCTCGTAGCAGGCGAATCTGGCGCTCACCGACCGTTACATTCACTCTACCTAAGTCTGGTTGAGCTCATCCGTATAGGGCATTTCATATCATTTGTGCTCGACAGTGGAGGACAAAATGTGCAACGACGACAACAATAGCCCCACCCCCCCACCAGCTGGCGCCATCGCGGCCGATGAGGTGAGATGTCTTCAGAGTCCGTCGAGGGATGGCAATTTGACTGAATACTGCATGTACATTATAGCTCACCGATGATAATTCCTCATTGAATGGTGTAAGTGTTTAGAAAAATGCACCAGGAATTGCCCGCAAGCTGACTATGTGACTTCAGGGTAGCATCGCGTCTTCCACCTCCACTGTAGCGGCCTCAATTCTTGAGTCTAGACTAGAGAACGGGAGAACATATCACAAGTACAAAGAAGGGAGTATGGTAAAATCAAATCAAATGAACCTATAAAAGACTAATCGTTACAGAGTACTGGGCGCCCAACGATGAGAGAGAGAAGGACAGACTCGGTAAGTTGCACATGCGATTTTCCCAGCCTTGGTTAACGGTATCATTCTCTGGCTGACTCTTTGGCTTAGACCTTGTGCATAACCTTTACCTTTTGACCTTTGACTACTATCTCGGAACTGCGCCGCCAACCCGAGAGGACTCGAAAGTCGGCCGCGTGCTCGACGTCGGCACAGGCACCGGCCTCTGGGCAATTGAGTTCGGAGAGGACCACCCCGAGGCTGAGGTTCGTAAAGCTTGCTAACCTTTTGATCCCAAAAGACAAAACGCTAAGTATGACTTCATGCTTATCCAGGTCACCGGAGTGGACTTATCGGCTTCTCAGCCAAGCTTGTACGACATATAGCTCCCAGCACGAGTATCTCTTCGGGCAGACTCGCTGACGAGATGACCAGCGTACCCCCAAATGTTCGATTCGAGATCGATGATGTCGAGGAACCATGGACTTTTAGTGAGCCCTTCGACTACATTCACAGCAGAATGATGAAGGGCAGCATTCGCGACTGGAAAAAGTTCCTTCAAAGCAGTTTTGAGTTAGTCGCCTCAATCATGCCCATGCCGATGGTGTCTAGTTGCTAATCACTCGGCAACTATGCAGTAACCTCACCCCTGGCGGATATCTTGAGCTGAACGATATCGACTTTTTCCCCTTGTCAGATGATGACACGATTCCAAAGGATAGTAAGCTTATGAAGGCCTTCGAGTTTTGCTTTGAGGCTCTCGAAAAGATGGGATCGCCTTTCGAAGAGTTCAGCCGCTTCGAGACCCTGCTCGCCGAGGTTGGATTCGAAGACATCCAAGTGCAGCGTTTCAAGTGGCCTACGAACACGTGGCCCAAGGACAAAAAGCACAAGGACCTGGGCGAGTGGAATCTCGAGAACCTTTCGCCCAATTTGGACGGTCTTCTCATGGCGCCGCTGACGCGAGCTCTGGACATGAGCCAGGCAGAGGTCCATGTTATTGCAATGGAGGCTCGTAAGGAGCTCGCGGATAGACAGATCCACGCCTATTTCAATGTGTATGACTCTCCTAGACCCCCCTATCAGTCTTGCTCGAAGGTAAGCTTTCTGACCTTTTCTCTCTAGGTGGTCCATCCATGGACGCAAGCCGGCGACGGCAGCGGCGAACTGAAATTGGGCAAGTCATCGTTGATCCATGTCCGATGCTATGGAGTTCATAGCGTTCTTCAACATGCGGGGATGTTCAGCTTGTTAGTTCTCTAATTTTGGCTAGCTTACCTAGAAACAAATATCTTCCATTGTACCAGATGAAGACGCGAAGATGACTGTACCTTCCTCTTGACTTACGAGCGGAGGAAAGATGACTTTCGTATCAGCTATACGCCGACGTCATTGTGTAATTTCGACTTCTGCTCCTAGCAGCGCTGGCGATGGTCAACCGCACTTCCGTGCTGATGGTGGCAACATTCTGATGAGTTCGATTATGTCCAGCACACGGTGTTGATTCAATCCGACCACTGGACAAGCTTAATTCCAAGTGGAGCAGAGCGGCTCAACCTGGGGCGAACGCGAGATTATCTCGTATTCAGCGGGGGCTTATACACCAATATTAAAAAGCACTATACATAGAACCTAAAAAGGTCTTTGCTCGCGCGGGCTGCTTCGCGATGGACGTCGATCTTCGAGACTAAAAATGGCACATTCCCCCATGACAGACACGAGATTTGCATCTGGCTCTCAACCTGGTCGATTGAGTTGCTGCCGCTACTGTCTGATCGCTCAGACATTCGCGAGATGAGAGCCTCTAACAACTTATTGTTGCAAGGGGCAGCTCTACTTACTAGCACAGCACTCGCCTCCAGCTCATCTATCAATCGAAGAGCCGACATCTCATCCTGCAAATTGCCAGCTACGAACAGCGTCTTTTTCAGCTCTGGGTTCGGATACGAGTACGATTGCGCTCCTAGCAAGGGCACTGTTAATGCGATCCTCATCTTTATCGACTTCCCGGACCAGACTGCTTCAGAAGCTTCTCCGCAAGAAGTCTACGACCTCCTGATACCTCAAGCCCAGCAATGGTTCAACACGTCATCGTACGGCCAGCTGTCGCTGAACATCACTGCAGACACGAGCCAATTTTACCGCATGCCCAAGAACGCAGCAGACTACAACTTTGTCAGACCTTTATCGCAGCAAGCTCACTATGCCTACGTACAAGACGCTCTGGAGCAGTGGCTGGCTGTCACCAACACGCCGGTTCCCAAGGTCAACAGCACCGAGGGCCCTCTGACTGATATCTTCTACGTCATCCCGACAAGAAACGCCACGGGTATCGAGCTGTCTGCAGCGCTTACCGGTGGCGCGTATACCAAGGATGTGAACTACATTGCGAGGAAGGCCGTCACCATGGGCATTGACACGTTCGATTGGTGGGGTTACAAGGCGGTGAATCACGAGACGGGCCATACCTTCTGCTTGCCGGATTTGTACCCCATACCGACCGGCTACACGGGTATGTACGCTGGCAATTGGGACATGATGGCCAATGTGGGGGCGTCCAGTCCGGATTACTTCGCATGGGATAAGTGGAGGTTAGGCTGGCTTTCGGACGATCAAATCGAGTGCGTCGTTCCCTCGGCCACTCCCCTTAAAGGCAGCAACATCACTTCCTCAACGACGCATAGACTCACGCCACTCGAGACTATGGGCGGGATGAAAGCCGTGGTCGTGAAGCATAATGAGACGATGGCGCTGGTGGCCGAGGTGAGGTCGAAGGAGGGAAACGACCTCAACTCGTGTACAACCGGCGTCTTACTATACACTGTGGCGACAGATCTTGGTACTGGCGAGGGTCCGATCCGAGTTCTGGACGGGAATCCTGGCTGGGGAACGGCGTCTTGCATCAACGATAATCTTGACAATGCGCCGTTGAGCTTGAATGGCGGGGGTGCAAGCTCGTACACCTCGACAGATCTGGGTGTGACGGTGACCGTTGTGGAGCAGAACGGCGACGATTACACAATCCGCATTGATGTATCATGAGAGATAATGATTGATAAGTCGAATGTACGCGTAGGATGCATGGGAATGTCGAGACTGAAGGTTTTGAAGAGTTGTTGTGTGTAGAGGTCTCCACTGCCAAGTGCTGTCAAACGTCAGAGGTCCAAAAGTGAAGGCCGAGAGAAGGCAGAAGAAACGCAACAGGCGTGACAATTAGTCACTGGGGCCTGTTTCGGCGATTCAGTCCACTTCATGGGGGCATGAACGGCAGTTCATCACACAATATTGATAAGCAGCGTTTCGTATGCTGCATATTGAGAACATTACCAAACTTCAGATGTCTAGAATGGGATGAAGTTCCTTTTTTGCGGAGGGACAAAGGTGGGATTCTCTTGGAAAGACTGCCCAGAAGGAGTTCGGCCGGTGCGTTTGGACTGAAGACAGAGCCAGAAATAAGCAGTTGCACGTCAGTGCATGATAACAACTGATAAAGTTCATGATAACTCGTCTTTAATATTGTTTGATCGTCGACGGTCCAAAAAGATTTGTGTGCCTAATGGTTTGGACGAGGTACCCATTTTAACTCCAATAAGTTACCGTAGCCGAAGTAAAGGGAATTGACGAGAATTATCGAGAGGTCAAGCAAATTGAGGTCTACCGGAAAACAGCTTAATCACATTGCAACAGGCATTCACTTAAAATATGGGCTTAGACCAGTCAGGCCCAACTTCTAGATTTCCGAGACGTGGTTGGACGCAACTATCACTCGAGACTATCCATCTCGTCAGACTAGAGATATTCTCAAGATGGTCTAGGTAAGGTAAAAATTCAATAGATGTGAAGCAGAATGGAAAAAAAGGTACTTCTAGTTGTGTCCGAGGATGGAATCAATCATGTTTTGTGGTTGATGTCGAGAGCAATTTGGTCGTCAAATCGTCCGGTCATCCGGTCGTCCGATTGCCACACAACTTTGGAGAACTCTTCTACCCTAGATAAGAGTCGAGTCATCCCACCTCAAAATCGATCGAGGACTTCACGGTGCCATAGGCCGGACTCCGAAGGGCGAGGTAGATCATACTACACAGGAGGGAATGAGGTGAGATGATTGCTGGCCAGTACGTAAATCATCCCCGCTCTGATGGACGCCCTATGCGATGATTTCCTGCCAGTCAGACATGACGCGCGAGGGTGGCTAGGGCCGCATGGTGATGGTGTCTGAGATTTCGCCCCTTGGCACTGATGCGTCTGAAGTCTCTGATCGCCTGAAACAGAAGATCTTAAGGCGGGCACGGCAGGCAACGAGTACAAGACTCCACTTTCGTTGCCGCAGAAGCGTTGACAGACGTTGGTCCCGCGACGGCTTGGACAGAGTTCTGGCCAGATGGTGGGATGGTGTCATGCTCGCATTCCTGCAGAAGAAGAGGAAGAGAACTGACAGGCAACGATCTGGGGGTAAAATTGCATTCGTAAGGCTGTCGAGACTCATTTTGAGTTCCTTTGACAACTGAATCTGACGTGAAGTTTCCTGCAGGCACTGAGGGGCAAGCCCGCTTGTCTTCCACAATAAGCTTACCAACTAGCGGCAACTTTCCCCATTTTCAGAGATTGCAGAGATAGATGGCCATATCGTCTGGACTCGGATCATAGCTGGCCAGGACTTGCGGCCAGAGTATCCGCTGAGCAAGATCGGTTGAGTCCCATCCGCTGCTCGGAGCGACATGCCGAATAGGGTGACCTTGTCCCCAGAAAGCGCATTTTCAGGGAGAAGAAGCACATCTGGAGTACATTTCGCCTGCAGAATTACGCAGTAATCAAGCTTTCCGGACATCTGTAGCGCGGGTAGGCCCTGCGCTAAGCCCTAAGAGAATGCGAAAGTGACCCCTTACAAACCAGTTACCCGCCCGGCGAGCTTGCGATCCGGAGGCCACCGAGGTTTGCTATTGGCTTTGGAATGAGTTAAGCATTTGGTCGTGGGGAACTCGGCTTTGATAAGCGGCGGTGGTGCTCTCGAGACGCACGGGTGAATACCCTCCCCCTACTTCTCTCCCCCTCCCACCCATGCCACCATCACAAAACGTTCCCCCCCTTACCCCAGGCGAAACTTGCTCTATGACAACCTGCGGCTGAATCTGTCTGATCTTCCGCCTCATCTTTCCGTTCACATCGTTGTCGAGGCGTCTGAAGTCTGCGGCGCCTTACCGAATGCGCCCAGCACCCGTCGCAAGACTTCCAAAAACTCTGCCGATATCGCGACCCATGTTGCAATAACAAACGCAAATCCAGCCACACCAACGTCGTTCGCTAGCTGGTCGCGCCCAATTCAGACCATGATGGCATCGCGCCCCCACCAGACTTGCTTCATGAGTGGTTGACTTGGCGATGACATGGTCACCCGTCGCGTCTGTTCTTTGAACCCCCCCGGCACATGCCATACCATGATTTCGGGTCCGATAGATTCCTGTACCTGACAATCTTCTAAGTCGCCGTCTTAACCGATTCGGCTCGTCTCATATTGTCTCGACTCTCGTTCCCCTCGGCCTCCATACCCCGGGGAGAGCGTCGTCTGTCTGAACTTTTGGAGTCTCATTGCAACGGTGTACTAGCCAAAGCTGGCCGAGCATGAGGCTCTTGCTTTAGACCGTCTGAATTCCACTGATGCACCAGGGATCTGCTCTGATCATGTTTCCCATCCAATCTCTTCTTTATAAACCTGGCTGATCTCCCTCTCGGCACCAAATTTCTTCTTCTTGGCTATAGCTTCTCATCTTCATACGACATTCTCTTTGCACCGTTTCGTTTCATTCTTTTCGACCTCGAGTTCTGTGAGCTCTTCCATTCTTTGCATCGCCTGCAGATTTGACCTCGTTTTACTATACTATCTTACGAACAACTCTTCGCTTCATACCACGTCAGTCGACAGCACGCAGAAGGCCGGTCTTTTCTGTCTTAATCACTCTCGACCGTCGATAATCCAAATCTCGATCAAGATGAAGTACCAGACTATCGCATTCGCCACTTCGACCCTCGTCGGTCTCGTGGCGGCCAGTCCCTACCACCGCCACCACCATGTTAGACGTGTCAGCAAGCGTGAGGTTCCCCAGGAGCACTCTCACGAGATCTTCCTCAACATCACCCGCGAGTTCCTGAACAAGGAAAACCCCAAGGCCATTGCCGACCCCGTCTTCGGCCTCCTCGGAGACGCTGCCGCCAAGACGGGCGCCGGACAGGTCACCAACTTGGCTTGTCTGCAGCAGGAGACCGCCGACCAGGCCTTCACCAACGCTAAAGCCGCCAAGGATATCCGTGGCATGTCCGCCGCTCTCGTTTACCAGACTCTTGAGCGCAACACTGCGGGTGTTGGTGTGAACAGCGCGGCTTGCACCGACAAGCCTGTCAACGCTGAGATCGCCGCCCTGTCCAAGAAGCACCAGGACCCCGCCGCCGATGGCGCTGCGGCTAACAACAAGGAGGTTGCTCTCGCGCTGGCCAAGCAGTTGGCTGCAGTCGGTGGTGACCCTATGCTGGCTCTCGAGAGCGGCACCTTCGCCCCTGGTGACAAGTCCGACACTACCTTCAAGGGTCTCAGCTGCGACACTGACACCGACCCTACCGGTTGCATCTTCACTGAGAAGAAGCTTGTCCTTGATGCTACTCCCGACGAGATCACCGCCGCTGCCAAGGGCGTTACTCAGACCGTCACAGGCGGTACTGGTGAGCTGAAGGCAACTCACATCGACATCACTAGCCTCGCTGTCGCAGGCCAGGCTGGAGGTGCTACGGGAGGACAGACTTCGAGCACTCCTGCCAAGGCTAAGAACAGCGCCACGCCTGCCAGCGGCAGCACGAACTCCAACTCTAACACCAACGCCAACACCAACGCCAACGACGCTTCTTGCGATGCAACCAGCTCTAACAACGGCGCAACTCAGACCAAGGCTAACAACGGCACTGCCGGTGGAAATAACGGAAACAACTCGAACAACAACGGCAACGCCAACAGTGGAAACGCCAACACTGGTAACGGCAACAATGTACAGACCTTCACCGGCTCTCTCGGTGGCGCTCCTCCCCCGGTCATCCAGAGCTCCGGCAACCGTCCCTTCTCCGTCAACGGCGACACCTTCGTCGGAAAGGGCGCCGCCCTAGGCCGATCCTGCGACGTTCAGCACAACGCCTGCGCCCGCGCCGTCAACAGCGGCCAGCTCGACGGCGAGGTCTCCCAGTGCGACGAGCAAAACACCCAATGCCGCGCCCAGGCTAACCTCCGCAAGCGCTTCTTCAAGCGCCAGGCTACCGACTTCGGTTCCTGCAGCGACCCTTCCGTCGTCTTCAAGGACGGCTTGCCCGATCGCCAGGCCGCTGCCTTCATCGCGAACAACCAGGGCGACTTCAACCACGGCTCTGCGCAGAAGATCGGCATCATTGCTGGTTTCATCTGCCAGCGCCTGTCCGACAGCTGCAAGGCGCCTGCTGCTACCGTTGAGAGCTGCAACAAGGCTCAGACTGCGGCTGTTGCTGCTACTCAGGATGAGACTGCTGCAAATGTGTTCAACAGTATGCTCATTGGCGGCTCGGCTAGCGGTAACGTCACCGCCCGTGGTGAGCTTAGACTTCACTGATCGGAGTGCTTCGGAAGTGCATTCAAATCATTACTGGAGGGTGGGTACATGGAAGGTGTTTAGGCTTACATTGGGTTGCGCTTCCGGTGGCAATTTGGCGGCAACATTGAGATATCCTTTGCACGATTCAATGTCAGGAGTAGCTTTAGGTGTATCTTGGAGTCTTGGTGACTATTTCAAATTGAGTCAACATTTCATGCCTCACATCCTTGTGCTGAAGATTGAGTGACCTGTTCAGAAGGATATTGCTCATGCTAAGCAGAGCGTTCGCGATTCACTGGTCGCATGTAGTGGTATTCGCAAAAAGTCAATAAGGTTTGAGGTTTCTAGGCCCGTTTCAAGGTAGCTCATCTTCATAGGAGCTGGTCATTGGCGGAGCCGTGCAATAAGTTGAAGTAATATTAACAAAGAACTGAAAACTCCCGTCCACAAAATAGCGACTCAAGGCGAGTCGTACTTGAGGTACGCGCCGCTGCCAGTGTCATGCGTCAGGTTCGTCTGCACAACACGACCATTCTTCAAGCTACCACTCTCAGCAACACCTCCAACGGCCGCAGAACCGTTCAAACGATGCAGCTTGTTCTCGCCAGCCAGTACAGTGAAATTGGCCAGGGAGATTTCGTATCCTTGCTTGATCCTCGTAGTGGGAATACCAAAGAAGGAAGCATTCACAGCATCGTAGTCAATGCTGAGCTCATAATAGCCCCTGTAGAATAGATCTTGCCACTGCAACTCGCGGTTCGCAGCCGTAAGCCAGGCAGATCCCGCATTCGCCGCCGCTAGCGAAATGTTCTGCCCAGCCGGACACGGCGAGCTCACAGCCGAACCCGCAAACTCGACGCCGACGGAGCCGGAGCCCGTGTTCGGGTCGTACTCGTGCTCGCCGAGCCAGACGAGGTCTGATACCCACGAGGCGTGCGAGTCACCGGCGAGGAAGATGTTGTTGCCGACGTTCTGCTCGTACAGGACCTGGAAGGTGCGGTTGCGGTTTGCTTGATAACCGTCCCACTGGTCGTAGTTCATGGGGTTCTCGGCGCCGAGGGCTAGGCTCTCGTTCATGCGACTGAAGATGATTTGGTTGCCGATGACGCGCCAGGTCGCACCGCGGGTCGAGCTTTGGCGGAGGGTTTTGTAGAACCAGGCCTCTTGGCGGGGGCCCATGAGGGAGCGGCTGGCATCATTTGAGATGGCGTGGATGTAGTCGGTGTTGGTGTAGACATCCGTGATCTAGAGGGTTAGCAAGACTCTAACCTTCATATAAGAGAAGATTGAAACTTACAGCGCGGTCATACTGGCGAGTATCCAACATGACGAGGTCGAAGAGGTTGCCAAAATTGAACTCTCTCCAGATGCGGAGGTTGTCATCCATATCGACCTGACGAATGGGCACTTTGATGCGTTAATCAAGTATCACTGCTAGGACAGGTTTAGACGTACTCCACTCAAAGTATGCTCGAACAGCGTTCATCTTGCGCTGATCAACCGAGACACCTCCATCGGCAATGAAAGAATCCTCAGTGTTGTTGAGCTCAGAGGCACCATCTCGCCACGTGTTGTCCGAAACCTCTGTTTCTGGTTAGTCAACGCGGCGCATAACGAAGGAAATCTGTTACAAACCATGGTCATCCCAAACCGGGATCCAGGGGAAGCTCTGGTGACTAGCCACCAAGTCCAGGTCGGTTCTGTAAGTTGCAATGCGCTTGCGGTAGTCATACAAACTGCCAAAGAGTCAGCTTCAAATATTTGCGATGGAAGTCATACAAGCTACTAACGTGAAGATCTGGCGATCCGGAAGAGGGATTCTTCCGATCGAGTTGCCCCAGCCATACTCGCCGTTTCCGTACTCGTAGATGTAGTCTCCGAGATGGATCACGTAGTCGACCGAGTCCTTCCGTACTGGGTTGCCGTATGCGTTGAAGAAACCGAAGGCTTCACAAAGTCAATTAAAAGTTCTGAGATTTCTGGAATGGAAACTTTACGACGACGTACGGTAGTTGCTGCACGAGTAAACGGCAAGCTTGATTGGTGTTTCAACTCGAGAGTTCTTTGTAGGAATCGTCTTTGTACGACCTATCGGGGACGTCTTGTTGGAGTTACAAATACCAAACTGATAGTCTTCAGTGCAAGTCAATTACCCTCCTTGAAAAAATTGTGCGGTGTTCACTCACAATAGACCGTGAAAGGCGCCAATCGCTTCGCCTCTACCTTGACAGTGTAATCCACATCAGAGCTCGTGTAAGCAGTACCCGAGTCAACGACAGTATCAAGGCTCTTGCTCGCGCTGATTTTCCAATCAACGCAGACCGGCGAGTCGCTCTTCTTTACATAGTCCTCAGTGCTGTGGTCGTACAAAGGGACGTAGCCGCTGACAGTCAAGTTGCTCTTGTCATTGTCAGCTGTCGGGGCAGCTCTTGTCCACAGAATGACGCTGTCCTCGTACGGGTCGCCGGAAGCCACGCCGTGCGTGAAGTTCAGCTTGGCCGGGTCCCAGTGCGAATTGGCGTAGGTGCGCTTGGCAACCTTGTTGATGGAAACACCAAGTGACGCATGGTGCTTCGATGGCGACAGGTAGTTGAGGTTACCCGTAAAGGCGCCCGATGTCGCAGTGGCCAGGGCCAAGACAGCGAGAATGGGCTGAACCATGTTGACTGTGGCTATCGATGTCTAGGATATTCAGACGCCGATGAATTGACCACAAAGAGTTGGCATGTTGGTTGCCAAGAAGGGAACATCATTAAGCTTTGACGGCGGAGGCCGCCATTTATGAGCTCTTGTTTGCATCTGCTTCCTGCGCGATAATCCTAGGACGAGCTTCCGTAGCTTCCATCTCAGGCCGTTTGTTTCTCGCTCTGGATGGACGCTCGCCACGTGCGTTTTTCAGACGGCCGGGCTCGTGGGTAATCATCTCAACAGTGATTGGACATTGAATCCCTTCACCGGACATCAAGAATCGTTAGTCTTCTCTCAATGACGACAATCACCAGGGATTATCGCAGAGTAGCATTCGCGAACCCCTCTTCTTATCAATCGTGCATGTGCTGAGATGGGCATAGGTTCACCAGTCTTGCAAGGCACGGAAATAAGACCTCTTTATGAATGACATATCTTGAACCGCGGTTCACACGTGCGCCCAGCTCTGGAGGTTATTGGTGGTCTTGGCGCTGCGGGGCCGTTACTCCGGCCCTTCGGCTCTGCATCTTCAGCGGGGATCCTAGTCGATACTTACATAGCAGCATCATGACCAAAGTAATAAAAGCACATCATAATTGAGATCTACTACCGCTCAACCATGTCCTCGGATTAAAAAATTGGGAGAAAGCCCAACTTCCGGTATACGAAAGCAGGTAGCATGAGCCGTTGCCGTCAATCAGCTGGCGTCAGAGAATTGAATCGATCTTACATGAGGGTCTCTCTATGTATATGCAACAGATCTTGAATCCAGGAACATTTAGCGAGACCTTCAAAATTCCTGCATCTCAGGCTTTTGCTACTGAAGGGACAGAAGAGCGGCGGGACGAAAGTGCTTCTATTGTCACACTCACACTCTAAATAACCCATCACGTAAAGTCAATATACAGACGATTATGAATACTACACATCACAGCCTCAAGGCAGGACAAGGTGACCTGATGATTGATTTCATCGTTTTTTATTCCAACAAATCCGGTCTGACACCTGTTGCTGGAGACGTAAAATAACCGTTACTTCAGTCGTTTAGACCACGAGATAAAGAACATAGGAAAGCTCACAAAGGGGTTGAGAAGGACTAGAGGAAATGAAATGGCGATGACGTTGGTCCGGTTTTCGGGCCAAAGGAAAGCTAAAATCACAGGAACTGTAAGAGTTGAATAAAGCCATACCATGAAGCTGGAAAAAACCTGGGATTGGTAGAGATGGTCGATAGCTGGGTCCTGAAGCTGCCCGGCCGCTTTTTCTGAGGCCGATAGTAGGCCGCGATCACTCTTTATCACTTCTGCTAGTGTTCTTGAAGTTCTATGCGGAGAGACTGTGGGGCTTCCACGGGGGCCTGTTGCTGAGGATCGAGTGAACCGGCCTGCTCCTTGCTCTTATAGACGATACTTAGTCAGGTACCTGTTTGGAGGGCAAAGGATTGATTGTGGCAGATCTCTTACTCACCCAGATACATCTGGACAGCAACAAATATGGGCTGCGAGAGGAGCAAAATCGGAAGTAGTTGCCCAAAGCCCATTTCGTGCTCGGCTGACCGTATTTTCTCCCCGACTTGGCCCTTGCTATGGAAAAGCTGATATGTACCCCATGCCAAGGTGAATGCGAGAAGGAACATGGTGAACATGAATGACTCCAAGAGCTCCATAAGAGCCACTAAAGCAATATAATGGCTGATGATAGTCTTGTATGTAGCCCGCGTATGCCAGCTTGGTCGTTTCTGCAATATGTGCTTTGCTGTTTTCTGAAGCCAACACTCCAATCGGGCTCGGCCCCAATAGTGTATTCTTTCCCGACTGCTGTCGAAGAATTGACAAAGTTTCCATGCGAAGGCCCCAAGGAGTGAGACATAGGATATCCAATAATCGCCCTGTTCATTCACACCATTAAGGCGAATATCCCAGAGACAACGGACAGGCAGCCCGGGTCCAAGAAACGAGCTGTACCTTGAAGTTTCACTTGGCCATCCGTCTGTAACAGTCGGGACCAGAGCCGCGAGGAGAAGTCCGAGAATTGAGATCATGACGCACAGTCGGATAAACCGCAGTACCTTGTTTGTTCTTAATCGGTCCCGGAGTACTGATAGAGACATCAGATGAACTGTTGAGCTGAGCCAAGCCAGATATATGACAGTGTTCCAATGGTAGACGCTGAGATTGCCCCCCAAAGCTTGGATGTAACCGGCTATGAGAATGGCAAGGCCGGTGAGAAGCTGTTGATCGCTGAAAACCAAGACCATTTCAACAACTATTCTCGTCTATTTTTCGTCTGGCCGCTCTCTGCGAGCGAAAAAGAGCCTTTGGTCAACTCTTCGCACAAGACCACCAGGCAAAGCTCCAAACCAGTATGCCCCTACAATCAGAGCCAGAACTAGGTATGCAGATACCACAAAGGCCGTAAGTACCTATGGACTGTATTAATGTCACCTCAAATATTGCTTCAAGACCACGGGCAAAGAGACTTACTCCGCGTCCAGAGATGTCTGGATTCGGATAAACAGTTGCCGTACAACGGTAGTATAGACTACATTCATCCACGAAAGCATCGGTTATTTTGACGGTGACCTGAGAAATATGGTATAGCTCTAGTGCATGGCTTGTTACGTTCCAGCCAAGAGATGTGCTGGTGATAGTCTCCGTCACCGCTGGCACTGCCGCAGTGCCGAAGGCGCATAACGTTATCGTCACCGTCTCTGAGCTAACGAACGTGGGTATGGTGGTTGAAAATGCAGACATTCTATGTCTACGGCGACTATTGGCTTGCTGAACTCGAGCTGGGTCCTTAGGATACTGGATGGAGTTGTCGTATGGGCGGAGATGAAGGAAATTACGTGGCTGCCGTAGCCTGATATTACGTTTCCTGCGAACCTCTGGCGGTCTGGATTCTGACATAATTATAAGGCATCTTTTGCTACATCCTGTATGCAGTTGCCTGCAATCTTTGGTGATATCATCAGACCACGTAATCCTGAGATTTTGGCCCAATAGGCTCAATCCCAGCTCTTGGCCGCAAACACCCTGGGAACTTTGTGCTTGCACTACCGTCTGACATATGTACAAACCGTGGTCGAAGTCTCAAGGTGAAAGGCCTTTTTAGAGAAGCCAAGCCGTGCCGCATAGAGGTCAACTGGGTATCTTACCTCACATGTATAGCTATATGTATGGCTACATCACCTGCCGACTTAATGTCAAGTGAGAATGTCGAGTATCCGCGGCGAATCAGACGATTATATCATCTCATTGAAAATCTGAGATTGGGGCATTTACCGGGTACGGAATCAATTTCCTTTATTCAAGTAAGCTGGTAGCTGGGCAGCCGATGATCAGGGCTGATACCAAATGACGTGATGGCGGCAGTGGACGCCTCCAACATTGTCTGACCTCATGACCCAAAGGTGTACATACTCAGACAAGTAGAAGCTCAATCAAGATAATTGCTCCAGCTAAGACCCATTCAAACGCAAGCAATTTGACTCGAGCGGAACCTCCTGAGTCCAAGGCAATGGAATTGTGTGCGGAGCAAGATACGTAATATTGCTTGTGTGTCTTCTTGTTAAGCCTTTCGAAAGGCTCACATGAGAAAGAGCCTTCCGCATAAATATGAAGATCTTCTGTCCGGTTTGCGAGTGCCTCTTTGCTAAGTGCGCCTCGAAACTGAAAGTAGGAATCGCTTCAACATATCGTTAATATCTCTCGTCCCATCATCGGAGAGCACGAAAGAGCTGACTTACAAAAACAGGTTAGAGAAATTCCCTCTCAGGTAACTTTGTCCCATATCTGGCTGGGGCCAATACCACGACCGTACCATCTCACCATTATCGGAGACTCGATACTCTGTTGACAAATTCAAATTGGCGTTGTTATATTGGACGTTGAGGCTAAAGTTTACCCACTGGGATGCCTGTGGTGGAACAGAAAGCCACATCAGTTCCCGTTCGTTCATGATTGTGAGATTGCCCAGATGGTCGAAAGGCAAATCGAGATGCTGATAAAAGTTTCCGCCGTAGCTATCAAAGCTACCCACACTCAACGTCTTGAGGTTTGCTAGCCGCTCAATGCCGTTGAGGCTGTACGTTGTTTTAATGCTGCCAATTGTCTGTTCAGTAATATCTGATCCGCCCAGCACCAGCGTGAGATTGTTTGGCCCTCCGTACGAGACATAGTCGAACTTCAGCGTGCCAATCTTCGCGGCGCCAATCTGAAGACGTTTGACTTTGCCTGAGTTGTAGATGTAGACTTGGTCAACGCTGAGTTGCGGTTCCTTGAAAAATGCGTCGAGAGACTCAAGACCGCCTAACCCGAGCTCCATGGATCTGTCAATCGGACCGTCGCGATACGTGATACCGGTGATATTCCGAAAGGCGCTCAATTTCAAAGTCGTCAACTTGGGTGCATACATGAGTCGCATGTATCCCACTGACTCTAGTTGGTCGACGTCAAGATACTTCAAGCTTTCCAGTTTGTGAAGGACAAAGTTTTCGCCGACCGATCTCAGTTCTGGGAAGCTGAGGCCTGTGATCCATCCATCGTATGCTAAGATTACCGAGCCATTGACTCTGGTAATGGTACTGGAAGAGATGCTTGTGATATTGTGGTTGTATCCGATGCACTGCGCTGATACTTATGGGCACTTAGAGTCGTTCACAAGGTCGCCATGAATAACCTTGACTCCCTCGAGGGCAATCCCCTGAGTGGATGCTCCGGTGGTGACAGTGACATTTCCGAAGATCTCGGGACAGTTCCGCAGTGCATCTGCATCCGCTTGCGACGTGATCACCACGGAACCACACTCCTGGCCGATGACTTCTGTTGGTTCAAAGGGCCCATGTCGTTAGTCAAGTGACGGGCAGACCTCATTTCATGTTTTCTTACGATGCTGCCCAAGAATGAGGGCTAATAAGAACCCATTCCTCCAAGGTGATGACCCAAACATGTTGCAGAGGACGAATTACAATCAGTCACAAGCCAGACAATAACGAGGGGGCGCTGACTTCCTTAAAGGCAACTCAATCCCCCCGTCACTTCCCAAGCTCCACTGAATTAGCTATCTACATTGGGCCACATCCCCGTTCGCCAGTAGGGCTGGCAAAATAAGCTTAAGACTGCTAATAGCTACATTGACACATAAACTGTTGCCTGCTAAATAAGCCGTGCAGGTACTGGCTACGACCGAAGGCTTGACCTCAATTTTCTCACAAAGACCGGGCGTCTGCCCCTGCTAGATTTGCTTGACAAAATGACAAGCATTTTGAAGAGCTGAAATCTCATGGTCTCAAATGCAGGGTCAAATTATCCGACCTGCCTGTTAAGTAGTAGCTTCATAGATGCCAAGTCCGCCCTACCCGACGAAAAGTCTTGACTGGAGCCAACAGTCCGATTTGGGACCTCTTATCCGAAGTTCCGAACTTAAGCCAAACAATATAAGTAATCATAAGATCAGAAATGCACAACTTGGGCAAGAGCGGGTTTCCGTTGTGCGTCAACTGGCCAACTTTGTCAACATTAATTGAATTCTGCGTTCAATTAATCGTCTCCACGATAGTCACCGGTAGTTCTATCGGATTTGGTTGAGCGCCGAGACAGCACCCAAGATATCCATTCCAATTCTGTCGCGGTCACCACCTGCCCGTTGCAGTACTGGTAGTTGAATAATTATGGAAGGCCTGAAGTTGCAAGAAACTTAGAAAGTCATAGTCAGCATCAAGTGACGGATTACAATGGATTGCTTGAAAACCATTCGTGCTGCGACAGACGCGATCCTCTGTGTTGTCTTTTTTGTGAACTTTAACAGTAACTTCGTATGACGGAGCACGAGGTTCAGAAGACTAAGCGACGACTAGAATTGACGGCACTTCGTGTCTTACGTCATCTCGAGACAGGAATTTGAGGCCAAGGCACTGGAGCAAGCCTTTGGGCCATAGCGACAACCAGACGGCGAACTTACCTACTAGTAGATAGTCCAGATTTTGGTGGATTCAGGATGATTCTTCTCAAACAGTTAGACTGTGTTTGCAGAACTGGGAGGCAGTATCAGTTACCATAGCTCCCAGATAGGCATGCTGGCCATGTGTAGGGTTTTCCGTAGACTCCGGATCCGGGTTGGTGGTAAGAGGCTCATACCCCCATACTCCAGGCAGACCTAGTCGCTCTTCGGACACTTTTCAGTGGCTCACAAGGCCGATTTTTCTCTTGGCACTCGTCGTAAAGATCTTCAATCCCAGTGCTCCTCACCCGCTGGGCGCACTCACGACTCAAGAACTCCGTCGGACTTTGACTTTATTCTCCGTCATGATACAAAACTACCCATGACATGGTTTCTCCTAACACGATTTATCTTGGCAAGTATGCAACTTCTGGAGAAGCCTATCATTCTTCCTATAATTTCCAAAGATAGAGCAAGGCTCAGATGAGTGCCAAGTCGAGATTAATCAATCTGAACTTTACGGAGTATCTTTGCTGACGAACTCTTCGCTCACCACTGGGCTTAAAGGACTGGCGATATTCCAGTTCAAGTAGATCAAATGAAATCACATTACATCTTCTTCTTTGATTCCTGTGTTCCCTCCATACTGCAACTACCGTCCACTTCTTCCTCGAATTATCAGCAACCATGAAACAACCAATTCACATCCTGTTGTTGCTCTTAACATTTGTCCTGTCCTCCGCAGGGACAATCGCATTCACCTTTGCACCATGCTACGCAACATTTTGCTCCGAAGACTACTTCGAATTCGAGACCAGGTTACACCTCCTAGTCTACTTCGGTCTAGTCGCCGGCTTCGGCTGCTTCCTCTCCTTCGGTCATATACCACGTGGGCTCACACCCTAAGCAGCTACCATATCATGCGCATACCATTGGGAGGCAAACGAGTAACTTTTGGTGGTCTTTTGGCGTGTGTTTGGATCTTGGTCGTGATTGCCTCCACGACTCTGTTCTGGCTACCCGCTCAACGGGATTTCTGGGGGTTTAGGGCAGATCCTCTCGGATGGGCAAGTGCCAAGCTGAGACTCACAATCACAGGAATTACTGGCCATTATGCAGACATTCTGCTTGGGTTATTGGTGATCCCGGTTTCCAGGAACAGCCTGCTTGTTAGGGGGTTCTCGTTGCACCACAGCACGCTGCTATATGTGCACAAGATCGTTGCATATCTCTTCTCAGCATCAGCAACTGCGCATGGAGTTACCTACATTGTAAGTCTCTGTCTGACTGCTGATATAATGTGCAATTCCTAACAATTAATAGCTGTACGCAACGGATTCCAGCAGCGAGGGCGATGAAGCAAAGGAGGAAGCATTCGCAACAGGCAACCCGGCAATGACCCTGTCGGAGAGCAAGCAAAGAAGCGAATGGTTTACCATGACCACATACACCGGAATAGCTGCCATATTGCCCGTGTGGTTGATCATCATGACCTCGCTCCCATGGATTCGGAGAAACCACTACAACTTTTTTTACTACAGCCACGTCATTCTTGGTCTGATCATCTTCATCGCGGCATGCATCCATGCCAGTACCGATTTTTACCTACTTCTTCCCGGACTTTTCCTCTGGATCGCCGACTGGGCAATCAGGCTATTTGGCGGACAGACAGGCGGCCTCGCCTTTAAGACGGGCGCGACCCTGGAAAACGCAGGCAATAATTGGCTCAGAATATCCACGCACCTTCCAGTCTCGAAGAAAGCATCAGCTAGCACCTTTGACCTCGTCCAGGAGAAGGGAGAAACTCTACACGAACCCCTCAGCTACTACTATCTCAGCATCCCATCCATCAGCAAATTCCAGAACCACGCATTCACTGCAGCAGTTTCTGCTTCCACCGGAGCTGGCCCTACTTTCCTCTTGCAACCCACGACCGGAAAGAAGCAGAAGAGGCTTGACAAGGAATGGACTTGGAAGTTGGGCGCCCTCGTCTCACAAGCCTTTGAGAGTACAGCTGTTGAAGTACGAGTCGAAGGGCCTTACAGTGTTGGTGACGACGGCTTCAAGACTGCCTCTCACATCGTATGCATTGTGGGCGGAACTGGTATCACCGGTGCCCTGAGTCTAGCATAATGGTGGTTGGAGAAGAGGCCAGCGAACTCAACCTTCACTCTCGTATGGGCTGTGCGTCATAGGGAGGCTGCGGCGATTACGGAGTGGACTCAACTCCAAAAGACAGCTTCTTCGGTTCCCGAGCTTACTGTGGCTGCCCACGTGAGTTCAGAAAGCGGCCGTCTGGATCCCACATCATGTATCCGTGGAGCTCTTATCGTCGGCCAGCATTCGAAAGTAAGCCCCGTCGAACATGCTTGGGTCTACAGTTCTGGCCCAGCAGGTCTGATTGGCACTGTTGAAAGGGCGTGTGTTGAGATTCGGAAGAGCATCGTTGCTGGGAGAGGGGAGAGACATACAGACTCATGGCGGGTACGTGACATGGACTGGTATATGGCGAAGTGGGAAGTCTGACAGTCCTCACGAGTTTGATAAACTAAATTTCCTTTTCTTATGTAAAACTTCAGTCTCGTTTCCCCTGATTTACCAGTAGGTTAATAGGCGGCAACGAATCGGGGTTGTCGGAGCATTCAAGTAGACGAGATTTTGCTTCTCTCACGTATTAACTAGCTATTATTTATAGTAAATGCACAATTGACAGTTCACATGTGACATATTCGTACCAGATCAAATGATTGATAGGACTGAAATTTGGTGGTTGCTGGAGAAAAGTACGAATAAAATCAGGTTGCGAGTCTACTACGCCCCAATTTCCTTCACAACCCTCTTGACAACCTCATCCAGGTCTTCCTCCGAGACACCGAGCCTGCTCATGTCGGCGACCTTGGCGCTGTAGTCACCACCCCAGCCCTCGCGCATGTGGTTGACGTAGAAACCAACCAACATAGCCATGTGATCACCCTGCTTGAACTTCTCGTTTGAATCAGCCACGACAGCCTCTGCATCCAAAACCTCAACCTTCCAATCCGCCTCCTTCGTGCCCGTAGCTCTCAGGATACTGTCGAGCATATCCCTCTGGCTGATGTAGAAAGACTTCAGATACACAGCCTTGTCTCGGAACTGCTCAAGCTCAGCATCAGGCAAGCTCAAAACACCAGCAGTAGCCTTGCCCGTGGTGCCAATAGTGGTGGTGATGAACTTTGTGTTTCCGCCGTCAAACAGCTTTGCGGAGCGGTTCTTGATGTCGATGCCCCAGAATCCCTGACCGAGGGACCAGTCGAACCAAGGGTTGTTGACAATAGCGATCCAGCTCATTCCCAGCTCCTCAGTCAAATCGCGGAACTGCTTCTTGCCGGCGACCATGGGGCTGACCTCGAGCAACTTGGAAGGCGCGGGGTCGGAGCCGAATTCGGTAGGCAAGACCCACTTGACGCCGGCCTTGGCCGCGGCGCGGATGAGAGGTGCTTGGCCCGTCATGTAGCTGTCGAAGCCGAGTTGCAGAATGAGCACATCCTGGCCTTGGAACGCAGAAGCCAAGAAGTTTTCGTCCGAGTAATCGCCCTTTTTGACGATGACGCCAGCTGGAAGTGTGGCGGAGGATTGGGCGCGGGTGACGGCGGTGATGGTGTGGATGCCCTTGCCGAGGAGGGCGTTGAGGGTGAAGCCGCCCAGGTTACCACTGGCACCGACGATAGCGATCTTGCGTCCTTGTAATTCAGACATTTTTTTGAAGGTGATTTTCTTCTAATACGATGCGATGTCGATCGATGGTTTACAATTGAAGTTGATATTCGAGTTTTGCTACCTTGTGTTGACTGATTGATCTGTTGTGTTCTGCTTCTCTCTTTCATCCACAAGAGGGCCGATGCCATCCTTTAATATTTCTGCCATTCTGATACGATTTAACGAGGCGCAAGTAGAGTCCCCGTTTCCGTGCTGAACGAACAATGCATTATTGCTTCCAGCACCCGAATAGTGTGTAAGCCTTCAGAGACATTGAGTCCTCCACCACCATGAAAACGCATCCGGCGAGCACAGACAACACTCAAAGTGTTGCTGACAACTTACAAATGGAGTGGCTGATTGCTAAGCTCCTAGGATCAGCCAACTCAAAAGGGTCCGAAACCAGGCCAGATGTGGCTGGTTGGTGTCCACACCGCGCGGTTCGGGGGTAAATTAGCTACGTTGGGATGCCTCAGCTCCGAGACTTCGGACTTTTGAATTGCCCATTTTGTTGATTTAGGGCAGTTCCTCTCCGTAGACACCCTGAGTCTGAGTAATCCAGCTCCTTTCATTGCAAGATTTGTGAGGCAACTCACTGTTTCCTTGAAAAAACATTGCCGGGACTTTCGCGCCGTAAAAGGATCAGGCTGCAGGCGTCACTACTTGTTTTTGTCAGCTGGAATTGAGTATGCCATGATCAAGTAAGGTCGAGAAATAATTTATCGACAGTAGTTCTGTTCATCGAAAGATAATTTGTTGCTCCCCATGAAGGAATTAAGTTTGCGAGCCGACCGGCCATTGCACTTTCGCAATTTCCAAAATGTCTCCGGCTCCGTCTGTCACCAGCTGGCCATGGCCGGACTCTTCTGAAACGCGCCTGTGCTCTCCCAGCTCATCCGGCGCATCGCTGACGGCATTGCACTCGGGGACGCGGCATGCGCTCATTCATGTTCATCCTTGTGCAGTCAACAACGACGTGTTGAAGAGCGAAATAACAGAAGCTCTTGTCGCATTCAATCATCACTTATCTGGTGAAAATTGTGATGAAACCGCTTCAGATCACACCGCAGCGTTGATAACCAGCTCTCAGCTCAGCCTGCTTCAATCACCTCCGGCCATGGGCAACTAAGCGAATCGCGAATTCACCAGCCTTGAGCCTTGTAGGCGCCGCCCCCGTGATCGCTGGATCAACAAATATCAGCTGGACTCACAATGGCTTCCGCCTCTCGCGATGGCGCCCGTTTTCAGCCGCTCCCCTTGGGGCCTTCAGGGCCGGGCTCCAGCTCCTCTAGGTCGTCCTTCGACTCTACGTCTGATCCCAACGATGCCGATGACGAAGCTTTCGCCCTTCTATCCGACGGCGATGCCGCTTCTCTTCTTTCGGATGACATTGAGCTTGAAGAGATCTCTACAGCCGGGCCGTCCGCCGGCTCGGGCTCTCGTCCGGCCAAGTCTCGATCGGAGATGGATCAACGATTCCAAGATGCCATCAACGCCGAGCGTAACATGACTCCACGAGATGCTATCCGCGCCTATCCGATGGCCGTGTTTTGGAGTCTTGTTGTGTCTCTGTGTGTGATTATGGAAGGTAGGTTAGACTCTAACGTGAGCCATATGAGTACTTCCAGCTGATGAGTTCACAGGCTACGACACCATCCTCATCGGCAGCTTCTTCGCTCACCCAGAATTCGCAAAGAAATTCGGCGACGGCAAAGACAACGAAGGCCGAGACCAGCTCTCCGCCCTCTGGCAAGCCGTTCTCGGCAACAGCAGCACCTTTGGCTGCATCATCGGCGTCATTGCCAACGGCTTCCTCGTCGAGCGGTGCGGCCAGAAGACAGCCCTCATCAGCTCCCTCTTCGTGCTCTCCGGCTGCATCTTCATCACCTTCTTCGCGACTAACAAGACCATGCTTATGCTTGGCCAGATTGCGTGCGGGTTGCCCTGGGGTGTATTTGCATCGTCGGCACCCGCGTATGCGTCTGAGGTCTTGCCGTTGACGCTGCGGGTGTATCTGACGACGTGGACCAACATGTGCTTTATTATCGGTCAGCTCATGTCTGCGGCTGTCCTTGCGGGGCTCCTGCCGCGGAAAGACGAGTGGTCCTATCGTATCCCGTTCGCCTTGCAATGGTCCTGGCCGGTGCTGCTTATCCCGCTGCTGGTATTCGCGCCGGAATCTCCCTGGCATCTTGTACGAACCGGCCAGCTCGATAAGGCGGAGAAGGCTTTACTACGTCTCCAGAGGCGGAAAATCAACAACCTAGACGCCAAAGTCCGTCTACGTGAGATCATAGAAACCGATAGAATGGAGCAGGAGCATCAGACAGGTACAACCTACTGGGACTGCTTCCGCGGCGTCGAACGTCGTCGCACAGAGATCGCCTGCGTAGCATTCGCAGGCCAAGTGCTCTCCGGCTCAAGCTTCGCCTACAACTCAGTCTACTTCTTCCAGCAAGCCGGGCTGAACCCACAGGATGACTACAACCTCAACGTCGGAGGCACGGCGCTAGCTCTGGTCGGGACTGTCGTCAACTGGGTCGCGTTGATGCCATATTTTGGCCGTCGCCGCATCTATCTGTGGGGCATGTTCAGCATGTCCACGATACTTTTCATCATCGGCATCCTCGACAGGATAGGCCGGTTGCCGAATGCACCATCGTCACCCATAGGCTGGGTTCAAGCCTGTCTTACTCTTGTGTGGACTTTTATCTTCCAGCTATCGGTCGGTCAGCTAGGATGGGCTATCCCCGCCGAGGTGGGCTCTACGCGTTTACGACAAAAGACCATTTGCGTCGCGAGGTCTACCTATTATGTGATGAATCTACTAGCAAATGCCTTTCAGCCATTTTTCATCAACCCGAACGCGCTGAACCTGAAGGGAACTACGGGTTTCGTCTGGGGAACCTCGGCGTTTCTCACGTTTGTATGGGCATTCTTCAGGCTGCCGGAAACAAAAGGGCGCACGTACGAAGAGTTGGATTATCTCTTTCATAACAACACTGCGACGAGGCAATTTGATAAGACGGAGGTGGATGTTTTTGAAGGGGGCTACGAGAAAGTGTCACCACCAAGCTCTCGATGAGTTTCTTCTTGTCCCTTGTGGCGTTCAGCCGCCGAGCGAGAGGAAATTGGTGATAGGTTTGTGGGTACATGAAAGAAGGAAAGGAACGAATATTGCCGACGCAACGGCAGTCGCCAATCAATGTATGAATCTCAATATCATTTCCGACCGGGATAAAAGATTTACATGTCATTGAATAAAAATCGAGTCTCCTAGATTTAGGTTGATATGTTTAGCAGTTGCTATTCAACCTGGATCCGGAGTCCTCGGTCGGTGGGTGCTTCTTCACGATTGAGGCAGTGTATTGAGCTCTCATGTGGCAGCTTCTTTATTTATGACGTAGTTGACGATTATGCGCACTCTTGAAGCCATATCTTCTATCCCGAGGTGTCCTCATCAATAGTCACGCTTGCACATCGGATGCCTCGATCTTTTGACTCGTCAACCTCGATTCAAATCCGGCAGCAGCTCACACAAAGAGCAGGGATCATAGCTCAACGCCACGGAATCTCCCCGCACATCCACAGCCCAAAGGGCAAAAGGGCAAAACACACACACCGACCAAAGACCCCGGTCAAGCTTGCTCTCCCCCACCAAAGGGCGTCAGGGCGCAGCCAACACGCTGGCAAGCTTCGGAGACACGACGCTAACGAAGCGGTTACCCCAACGAGTAAGCAGACTGGAACGTCGGCGAGCGGGCAGAGCAACGATCCTCCCTCTTTGTAGAATCATCCTCGGCAGTGGGCGGGCCATTCTATCAGGCAAAGTAGCTATAGTTTCGCGAAACGCGTGCGCGGGAACTTTGGAACCTGCGGCTTGCCACGGCTTCGGCGCATGAGACGGGCCCGGATCTTGATAACAGATGCAATGCGGGGAAAGCTACCTTAGTTAGCTGCTCGATTCACACAACGTCTTCATTTCTCGGTCAGCTCTTCTCCAAAAACTCACTTCTTCACCTCTGAATTATTGAGTAGTAATTCGTTCCGCGTGCATTGACCTCTGACTATCACTTCCCCCAACGTCTCTGACCCTGACTCCAATTTCATCTTCTTGAAGCTCCTCGTATCCATCTCACCAACCTTTCCCCCTTTCCGTGTTGACGCGAGCACACAGCAACGGAAGAGAGCTCTAGATACGACTTATCTACCTACGCTACAGACCTGAATTGTCATCCTCTCAACACGTTACAGATCTTAGGAAAACAGTAACACTCGAGATGGCTACTGTTGTGGAGAAGCGGGGCGACCAGACGATTTACAAGTCTCCGGATCACATCGATCTTCCCAAAGTCGACCTTCTCACATTTCTGTTCGGTGAGTCCTACGGTCATTCAAACCTCCCAACCACACCGCCGACCTCGGCCGTTCGCGAAACGCATGAGTTGACAAAGAGTAGACTCACCAAACGAAAGACTGCGCGATGACACAGTCCTCCACGCCGACGCGGCAGATCCGTCCAGATCAATCACCAAGTCCCGCCTAGTAAAGGCTTTCAAACAGCTCGGTCACACCCTCCGCTACCAGTATGGCGTCAACAAGGGCGACGTGGTGCAGGTCATCTTCACAGGCCACTACATGGCCCCCACCGTCTTCTATGGCATCATGGCAGCGGGCGGCACTGTCGCGGCGTCTACGCCGTCCTCCACCCCGCCCGAGGTCGCGCGCCAGATCAACCTCACCGAGAGCAAGATGGTCATCTGCAGCCCCGATCTCAAGGCACTCGCCGCTGCTGGTGGATCAGCTGCAGGACTCCCCGATGATCGGATCCTCTACATTGGTGACAGCCACGAGTTCCAGCTCTTCGAGGCTAAGACGGATAAGAAAGTGCCTCTTTCGTCACAGGAGCTCGACTGGGAACGGGTGACAGACCAAACGAGACTCGAGAACACAGTTGGTTGCTACATTTACAGCAGCGGAACCACCGGCATCCCCAAGGCGGTCAAGATTTCTCATGCAAACATGATTGCGCAGACCATGTTCATCTCAACGCCGACAATAGAATATTATAAGACGCATCCGAAGATGGAGTACATCACGCTCGCACACTTACCCGCAGCTCACATCTCTGGTCTCCAAGCCTACATCGTCAACCAGACCTTCATGGGTGGCATCGTCTACTGGATGAAGAAGTTCAACTTTGTGGAATTCCTAGACTACGCCAAAAAGTATAAAATCACCTCCTTTTTCAGCGTGCCGCCCATTTATCTCATGATTGCGAAATCGCCATTGGTCAAGGACCACCTTGACACCGTGGAATTCGCACTCACAGGAGCCGCTGCCCTGGGAGGCGAAACTCAAGCCGAAGCACAGCGAAAAATGGGCAGGGGGAAAGCGATCCTCGGTCAGACGTGGGGTCTCAGCGAAACTACCGGCGGATTCACGATCCTTCCCCGGCATCTCACAGATGACACAGGAAGCGTCTCGATGATTGTAGCAAATTGCGAGGCTCGTTTGGTCGATGATGAGGGGAAAGATGTCGAGGTTGGACAGCCTGGAGAGATGTGGTGCCGCGGGCCAATCATCACCAAGGGGTACTATAAGAACGATAAGGCCAATAAGGAAGCGTTTGTCGACGGTTGGTTCTGCACGGGCGATCGATTGTCGTTCAAGGATGGAAAGTTCTACTTCGTCGATCGGAAAAAGGTTCGTTTAATTGGATTGGTATCGACTACCACGGAACTATAGCTGACAATTCCCAGGAACTCATCAAGTACAACGGTTTCCAGGTAGCTCCAGCTGAACTTGAAGCATTGTTGGTCACGCACCCAAAGATCCAAGATGCGGCAGTCATAGGCGTTGACGGCGAAGGCACCGAGCTCCCAAGGTACGCAACCTCCGACTCCGCCGGTCAGCGTAGTTCCAGTAGACTAACATCCTCCTAGAGCTTATGTGGTCGCCGATAAGAAACAGATTTCTCCGGAAGAAATCCAGAAGTGGGTGGCAGATCAGGTTGCTAGTTACAAGAAGCTCCGTGGAGGCGTCATTTTCATCGATGCCATCCCAAAGAGTCCCTCTGGAAAGATTCTGCGCAAGGATCTAAGGGCACTTGTAAAGCGCGAGGCCGGCGCGAAGCTCTAATAGGACTGAGGTAGACAGCCCTTAAAGATTTTGAACGGAGAAAGCCTCACTTCACGAAATGCCATCCACTGCTCATGCTTCGGGGCTTGACACTGACTTTTGTCTGAATGTTCTTTCTCCGAAACCCAACTTAAATCCAACATCAACTCTGACGCCCGCTACCATAGGTCATGATACAGGCCGCGATGGTAAGTACCAGAGTAGTTGCGTACGCCTGATAGGACCATTCTGGATCTATCTCCAAAGGGACTCGCTCTATGCTATATTAACGTCCCCTTTATACTTCTTTTCAAACTGTCCGCCCCTTCATCTTTTAACCGACATTTTTGCCACATCCAATCCACACTCAATTTCTCGGACAGCGACACCATCGATTCAGTCTCACATTATCATAACTGCACATTGCTTCTTCGAAAAACACAGCCATGGGATTCCTAGCATATTTCAGATACCGTCGTTCCGGTGCAGGAAGCCCGAAGCCTGCTCCTCAAGCATTCAACCATGCGCAAGAGCCTATGGCAAACCCCCCAGCCACATATGATCCAACTACTTACAACGCTCCGATGGATTTGACCCCGATCGAGCAGGAGAACCAAAGACTTCTCCAACTCACGCAAGCTATGGCAGAAGAGAGAATGAGAGAGGAGGCTCTCGCCAACCAGATCGTCGAGGCCGCCTATCGAGAGAGGTATGGTGATCAGTGGTATCTCCATCTCCAAAGTCAGCATCCGACACTCGAGATCAGACGCAAACCTGTTCCCTCCAGTCAGTCAACCTCTCGGGACACCAGCCCCGGCGCCACGTCCCACTATAGCGGCACTACAATGAACGAGCACGCTGAAGGATCTCAGCTGAACACACCTAGTCCCAGCTCCAGCAGATTCAGCTCCCAAAGCCCTCACCAAAGCGAGGCAGGCAGTAGGGAAACAGACCGTTCTGCAACATTTGTCGACGGGAGCAATGACTCACAGGTGGTCAGCGCCAGAAACAACATGCACCCTTATGCTGCAGTATGGCCTGTCAGCTACGACCCTCCACCATATACTGCCCACCGGCCTCTTTCCATTATCTCGGAGGAAGGCACAGGCCAGACGGCAGTTCAGACGGCAGCTCGACGTGCACTCCGGCTCGCAGCTCAGACGCAGGCCATGCCCGTGGCAGTGAACAATAAGAAGAAGCTGAAGTATAAACCAGCCCTCTTAAGCCATCTTACTCGAGGAACAATGCGGAAGAGAGTGGTGGGTACTTCAGAGTAGGAGGTACGTATCTAGAAGGGAAATCCCTAATAAAGGTGAACGGCTTCAAGGAGCGAAAATTAGTATATGACGAAGTAATCATAGATAGTGAATCGCAGATTTGTTTCTAGAAGATACCTTAACAACATGATGCCTTTAAGGCTATCAAATGTGTGATGAGTACATTCATCAGTGCAAGAGTACCATTGTCTACCAAAAGCAAAGCAGAAGTTATCATGTCTAACATTGATGCCTTATCTAGGACAAGCTGGTGGAAAGTGTGTTCATGGTGCAGTACTCATCCCTCTACCACGAGGATCGATTCGATATGTTGACAACCATAGTTAGACCCATCGCGGCCTATCAGCTGTTTAGAGGTTATGATGATTGACTCGAAATAGCTCCTCATGGACATTTGAAGTGACATGTTGGACGAAGAGTTGGTTCAAAATGGACAGAGTCCCGCCTCAAGAAGTGGAAATCGGGGCGTATCTCAAATCAGGACTCTCACCGAACTATTCGTATTGCTGATCAGGCACTTATGAAATTGATCCTTTAAGGAGTTCTTGTTGCATTTTGCCAAGTGAAGTGGATTCCATCGACGGCCCAGCCGGCCTCCCAGCTGCACGCCTGCATGAACCCGGACAGCTCACAGCCTTACTTCAGTCGGACCATTCTCCAGTGAAAGTGCACATCATGGTCTGGACTCAAGATCTGTGGTTGTTGCATCATAAACTCTGAGACAGTGATCACATTTATCGACTCTGTCACATTTCCAGGTAGGCCAAGGCTGACAGTGTGATTTTCTTGCCCACCACCACCTTGCAGCTGGGTCCCACCACTCAGGCGACTCCGTGAGGAACCGAGACAAGACGATCGTCTCTTTCCCCCCACCTTCCTATTCCACTTGGTGTCAGTTCATCCCATCTTGCCCATGACCCAATGGTTAGGATTTGATGCAATGTGACCATCCATACTTACCCATGTCTTCCAGACCATCGGAGCATCATCGACAACCCGTCTTCATGGGTGGATGGGGCGAGGAATGCAACGATTCATCAGCCACAGTTCTTCATCGTGTGACTCTTCCAGTAGGTAAAATAGCAATATTGCTGACTGACATACCAAGGGTGGTCAGATAGGGTCCGGGGTGCCTGCACTGACGTGAGATAAAGTAGGCCAGTCGGTAAACGCGTGTAACCCCGGCAGCGGGGCGGGACAGCCCGTCAAGGGAGCGGCTGCGGACCTCAAGTCCGAGAAGCCGGGGTTTCGATCCTTGGAAGAAGAGCATCGCCATCGCCGGCGCGTGAATGGTTCCTCATCAACCTCGGTCATGCAGCTTTTGCCATCGCTACAATCTACCGCCATCGAACGCGGAATCTAGAATGTCTCACTGCTCGCCCTGATTGAGGTTGCGATGGCGGTCAAGTGCGGACTTATTCTCGGCCGGTGGCAACATCAAGGGAGTAAAAGGTGAAGGCTTTCCTAGAACCCGGTAACATCAGATTGAAACTCCGAGCCGATCTGGCCAAGGGAGAATGCCAGCTTTGCATTCGCATGACAACGCCACATCCGTCAGCGCGAACCTAGCCTTGTAGACCCTTCTTGTTCGGACTTGGCAATGAGAGAACTGCTGGAAAGGGTTTGAAGGGGTGTGCTACATGTTTCGCAGCGAGATATTGCGATTGGTGGTTGGGAAGGGCCACTTCTTCTTGGCTGCGCTGAGCCTTGAGTGATTTCCAATTTTCATCCCTTGAGAAAGTGCGCAACCCCCCTTCATGACCCTGTTAGTTCGCGAGAGCGTCATTCGTCTCCTCGGATGCCCTCGCCTTCCTTCAAACACACCCTCAACCAGTATGCAGGGGATATGCGAGATGCAATGGCGTTACGCGATAGGATTCAGGCAACGTTGCTTCCTCATGATCGAGCAACTGATCATGACGTGCCCAGACTACGAGGCCTGGCTAGACTCCACGAAGTGAAGTAGATGATATTTCGGAAGACTATAAGTAACTCAGTATTGCTCCTAGGAAGATAGGATGAGAAAGATACAAACTATCCAGATTAAGAACCACGAATCTCATAGTTCATTGAAATCATTATGCACTTCTCATCCATCGCATCTGCCCTCGTGGCAATCACCCCAGTCCTTGCTTTAACTCGGTCACCTGCGCCGACTGTTACAAATGGTCAATACGTCGTCGACGGCTACGCATATGCCAAGCGCCAAATTTTCAACTTTGCCAGTGGCACCACTCTTCCCAGTGGTCTCTACAAGAGCACATGGAACATTTCTGACCCGCCAACCCATCGTTTTGACGCATCCAATGTCGTTGTCGGCAGTGGGTATATGAATCTTAAGGTTCCTGGCGGCCAGACAACGATGCCTTACAGCTCTGCCGAGGTTTCCACGACCTTCAACGTCAAGTACGCCTCTGTTCGTACTGTCGCCATCTTCAGTGAGCCTGCGGGAGTCTGCAACGGTAAGCTACGCATTCGCGAGTCATGTTCTTCCGCTTGATACTAACAATTCATCACAGGGGCCTTTTTCTATCAGAGTGATAGCCAAGAGACTGACATCGAGTGGCTCTCCGATGCGGATTCCCTCAGCAACCAGGGAACTCGCAAGCTCTGGCTCACGAACCAGGATGCTGATGGCGACGGTGTCAAGACATACAACGCCATCTCACCACCTGCTAGCCCAACTACCACCGAGCACGAGTACCGTCTCGACTGGACTCCTGGCCGTGTTACCTGGTACGTTGATGGTGTCCAGGTGTGGACTACGACTGGCGATGTACCCTCTGCCAGTGGTCCTTGGGTTTTTAACAACTGGTCCAACGGCGACAAGGGCTGGAGTGCCGGACCCCCTACCCTCCAGGCCGACTTCAAGATTAAGGACATTTACATGTACTACAACCAGTAAACTGTGGGGAAGTTTCTACACGTCGAAAGCTCTTGTCAAGGAACGTGGTAGTTAGCGTTATATATCTAAACATGAGTTGAATAGTAGTTACATCTGATGTTTCAAGGTCTTGTCGAAATACTTACTTTATGTACGCAGCAATATGTCAAATCAAATTATCAGTCCGATCATGCACGGTGCTACCTATTCTACGACTGAACCGATGGCGTTCACACGACAACGCCGGGAAAGGACGTATTGAGCCCGCTAGTTTAATATGAAATAGTTTCCATAACAGGTGGTGGGAGCTGCAGCGACCATTCCTGCGCCTATCTATCAGTAGCACTAGTGAGATACGAGTGGCTGGTGTAACATTGAATTGCTCACATTAATGACGATTCGAAGTTCACACACTTCACAGGTATTAAGCAGATGGCAGCAGGTGAATGATTGTATCCAGTTCAATTTTAATGCAGTGAGCTACCATCTATACCACTCTACAAGTTCGACCCAGACATTTTTGTCAATCCAATATTAAACTCATCAGATCGCTAGCGTAAAAGCTCTTTAACAGACGGGAATATTGATGACATCGCCAACCTGGAGCAGAAGAGGGTCGACACCCTGGTTGGCAGCGAGGAGAACGTTGACATCAAGGCCGAGACGCTCGGCAACAATGAAGAAGGTATCGCCAGCAACGATGGTGTAGGTGGCCGCGCCGCCCTCAACACAGGTGCCGGTGCCGGGCTTAGACAAGCAGGAGGTGTTGTCGGGGTTGCAGACGTAGGTGGGGACCTTCAGGACCTGGCCGAGGGCAATGAAGTTGGGGTTGGTGAGGTTGCTGGCGTTGGCGATGTCGC